GGGGGGGTGTTAAGAGTTAAAATTTTCTTTTACTCTCCACTCTTCTCCTGCCTTTTTCTTTCCACCTTTTTTGATCGCCTGACTAATAATTAGTTCAGCTCATCAAGATCTGTGGGGGAAGTTACATGAATTTCTTTGCTTCAGGGTGGAGTATCCTTTACAGTACACTACCCTGGCATGTGCTGTGCCCACAGACCACACTTTAGCAGACACAAACTCATCCACATTATTTACAGTTGCCTTCATCAGTGACCTGATTGAGCTCTGACTAGGATCAAATGAGGGCTGTTCTTTTACAATGGTTACAATAAAATGTTTTCTGTATTTTCTAGTGTGTGTGTCCTCATTTCTTTCCCTCTAATTGTGCACATGTGTTGGTGATAAAAGTCATGCAGGAAAGCAGCAGCAGGGGTCACAGTTCAGCAGCAGAGGTCAGCTGGTTGTATGTGTATGTGTGCAGCATGTGTGTGTGGGTGTGTGCGTGCGTGTTGGTGTTTTCCGGGAATGCGCTCTACTCGGAAGCCTTCAGCTGTGCGTTCTGCTGCTTTTGTATCTCATAGGAAACTGAGTTGATTTGAGCTTGTTTTCTTGGAAAACTGGTTCAGAGCTGAATAGCAGCTTTCATGAGGTCATTATCTCTGCACATGGAAACTGTGGGGTACATTAGGATGAACCTGTTTGAAGACATACTAATTTTAAGCACATTAGCTCATTTGCAAGAGGGAAGGCGCCACACCTAATTTTCTTCATGATAACATAACACATTTAGTACAGAAATAAAGAGCTGAAGAATTAAATATTAACATGCTGCAATGTTTGGACATAATCTTCACCGAGTGTCATACAATAAAATAATAACTACAGTCTGCACACTTAAAGTTGGTATTGCGTAATATCACAGTCTTGCGCAGAATAATTGTAAATAAACAATATTTCCTTCGCGCATGACGGCAGCACTTATCAACAGCAGCACTTATCAACAGCAGCATGGTAAGCTGAACATAACCGGAAGCTTTCAAAATAAGAGGTTGACTTTGTCAATACACGCTTTAATGCAGCCAGTGTAGGGTGTTGGAAAGGTTACTTTTAAAATGTATTCCACTACAGATTACAGAATACATGCCCCAAAATGTATTTTGTAACGTATTCCGTTACGTTACTGAATGAGAGTAACGTATTCTGAATACTTTGGATTACTTAATATATTATCATGCTTTTTACAACTACATGAATGTACTATTGCTGTGTGATTTATTACTATTACTGGAGGTCCGCGGCTCCTAACCATAGTAAAGGGACCTCTGGCTAATACTTCGGGTTCCGTGTTTGGTTCATAGATGAAAAATAGCTTTACTTTGTTATCTGGGTCAACTTTGCTTGCGAGAGACAGAGAGAGGCGTTGAAAGGCTGCTCCAACGGAACTTATTGTTTCGGAGGAAAACACGAACACAGTGTACAGTCGAGTCTTAATAGCATACTTAGAACTGGGCTCATCAGGCACTCTTCTTGGCTGCAGTGGTTATTATTATATTTACATGCTTCCAGCTCCCGTTTCTGCTGAATGACAACTGTTACTTTTCCACTCTCCTTTTTCTCCCTCCTCGCGCTCACAGACACATCACGGGTATGGCCGTCCATTCTCCTTGCTGCACGGACTACACTGTCCATGAGGCTACATTCTTTAGGGCTATGCCTGTAACACTCTGCCTATTAGCTTAGCACAACAACAACAACAACAACAAGGGGCTCTCTCACCCAGGAAACACACAGTCGCAGAGAGAGCGGCACCCTGTAACCATGGCAACCATAACGTTGCCGCAGAACATAGCTGTCAAACAAAACCCAAACAGTCCTGACCCGCGACAATATAAAACAGGAAAATACCGCTGTGTAATCCATTTATTTCAACAAAGTAACTGTATTCTAAATACCACATTTTTAAACGGTAACTGTAATGGAATACAGTTACTCATATTTTGTATTTTAAACCCAACACTGACCAGTGATCTGTTGTAATAAAGGCTACCTTTAAAATAATTTTGTTACTATGTATTATAGGATAACTTCCACAGACTTTGTTTATTTCTCAACATTTTTATTATTTACAAAAAAATATTATTTATAATATTATAGGGTATAATCAAATTTATCAATTTTCCATTTAAAATCTACAACTTTATTTATAGTTATTATTATCATGGTACATGTGGTGTTATCTTCTCAGCATTTTGAGTTAGAAGTCTCAGACCAACCCTAACCCTTATGTAACTTGAAATTTAGAAATTCTAAGTCCATTTTGACTTACGGGCACAAAAGACAGATATACAAACAAATATGTGTTTTTCTAAATAAAGAAAAGAAAACGTCAGTGGCGGAAGCAAACTTCTATGGCTGTTATTTCTTAGCTTTTTTTTTTTAATTGCACCTGCAGTGTTAAAAGATTAAAACTAACTAATTATAACATTAAAAAAAGAATCAAAACGAAAACTAAATCCTGCAAACGTGACAGCAAACAATGAGGCCATTTAACAGCGCCCAGCTCGTTGCGGTTCCAATGCAATTCATCCCGTTTAGTTAAGAGTTGAGAGGGTCTTTTACATCTTATTTTGAAAGGTTTGGCGGAAGTTGTGCTTATTGACGGAGCCCGACACAGAGGTTGCCAGCAGCGGGCGGCTCTTGCGTCCCTGCGGGCGCTGAAACACAAAACCTTTCTTGGAAACAGATTCCGGGAACCTCTGTCCGGCTGAACAGAGCTGCTGTCTCCTCTGCGCCTCACTCAGTGAGGGGAGCGCTTCAGTCGCACATCCAGCGCTCAGCACGCTTATATATATTTGAATCATTTTGAAGGACTGAACCGAAAACTTTGGAGGACCGTTTATTATTATTTTATAAATAATATTATAAATATTCACTGCAGGGCTGTTTTTACACTGGTTTCAATCCTTATGGTTTTTCCTGATTTGAGGTAAGAACATTTCTAATATGATTTGGGTAATTATGGGTATTTTATTGCAGTATGCATGATTCAAAGTAAGGTACAAAATAAGGTGAAGAGACGAGTTATTATGAACTGGCGCATTATAAATAAAGCTGGATTCAGCTTAACTGAATTGGCACATTTACTTGAGTTGTGCGTGTGTGTGTAAATATAGATGGGTGTCTTTTTAAAGGTGCTCTTTAACCCTGTGGTGAGGGGACCCTGTTTGTAACCTTAGCGGCAGGCTTCACTGTAAATAAGCACAAAGGTTTTCTGACTGATCACTTTTCCCGTTGTCCTGATGGGAATGGTCACTTTCATGATTATAATGCTTCCATCAGTAGGGTGGTGGAGTGTCGACAGATCTCCAACCAGCTAACACTACGGGGAGATTTGGGACAGACAAATTTGACATAAGCAACTCAATTCGCATTAATTAAGGGAATATAGTTCAGATGGGGGATAGGTTAATTGGATAATTCAAATTGCCACTAGGTGTGAATGTGCGAGTGAATGTGAGTGTGAATGGTTGTCTGTCCCTGTGTGTTGGCCCTGCGACAGACTGGCGACCTGTCCAGGGTGTACCCCGCCTTTCGCCCTATGACAGCTGGGATAGGCTCCAGTGCCCCCCGCGACCCTGAAAAGGATAAGCGGAAGCGAATGGATGGATGGATAGTTCAGATGATCTCTTAGTTAACTTTCCTACATGGTCATCGTCGTCTCCACAGGTGTGCTGTCAGTCAGCAATGGTTGTACAGGCGGTGACCATTTTCCATCATGAGGAACAAAGAAAGTCATCCTGCTCGGATCCTGCCCCTTCATCCTGGGACCCAGCAGATGACCTCCGCTGCATCACCACCACCTTCCAGTATCTGCAGACTTCTGGTACGCCAGCCACATTTAAACACTTCTAGTGTCAGTGTCCATGTGGCTATTAAAAAAACAAAAACAAAAACACTAATAACTGAACTGTCTTTTTCCACAGGTTGGTACTGGGGTCCCATCTCAGCAAGTAAAGCTCGGGAAGCTCTCCTCACAAAGTCTGAAGGCACATTCCTGGTGCGGGACAGCAGCCATCCACAGTACATGCTGGCTCTGTCAGTGAAGACTCGCTGTGGACCTACCAGCGTGCGTATAGAGTACAGCAAGGGCTGTTTCTGGCTGGACTCTGTCTCCCCTGGCCTGCCTCAGCTGCAGTCCTTCCCAGATGTTCTCAGCCTTATACAGCACTACACCAGCTCAGGCCACGCAGCACAGGACCAGACATCTAGTGACATTCACCCCCAAATGGAACCTGACCCTTCCCAGCCCGCAGCTAAAGACAGAGGAGTACCCCTGAAGCTGAAGCACCCGCTTCACAAACTGGAGGTTTTCCCTTCTTTGCAGCACCTGACACGCCTCACCATCAACAGGCACACTAACTGCCCCAACCAGCTGCCCCTCCCAAAGCCTCTGCTCTTCTACTTGCAGGACTATCCTTTCTCTATATAATACCTGCCCCTCAGCGACAGGACAGTCAGACTGGAATATGGTCGCGTCGTTGAGCGGATACTGTGAATCGGGGACTCTTTGATATATTTATGTATAATAAACCACTCTTGACCTCACTGCTCATGAATGAGCTTATTCTTACTGCACTGCTGCTGGTATTCTTCAATAAATATTCAATTATTTTTACATGCCGACCCCAGCTACTGTGAAATGTGCAATGCCAATATGTGAGTTGTTTTCTTTCCTTCTTTTTTTGATAATGTGGCCCAGTGAGAAGAAAGCAGCTCCTAAACCAGCTGTTTTGAGTGTTCTTCAATAAGGCAGCCTCCGCTTATAAATAATAAATCAGTGAAGAAAACATCTACTCTGTGCTTTGTTGCTCTAGCAGAGATGACAGTAATAATTTGGGGTTTCGTAACTTAAACAGTTTTTCTCCATGCCGGAGCCCAGTGAAAGAGATTAAAACTCCAAAATAAACACAAACAGATGTGTAAACTGCAAAACAAGACAAAACAACATGTGAGACAAATAAAGGAACCATGCAGAGTGTGTACCCAGAGTTCTGCTGTCAATTCAGTGTTTGCATATAATGTGATGTGGACTTCTTTAGTATTCACAATCCTGACAGAAATCTGATATCTTTCATTTCCAGAAAGGAAACATAAACAAATCAAATGCTCTTCAACAAATGCAAAAGCCAACAAAGAGGGCCTGTTTGTAGCTTGTAGAAGAGGATTATAAATACCATTTCTGAGAATTAAATCTCGGAAATGTTTGTTTTTCCAGCTGTTGTGTGTGTGTGTGTGTGTCTTTCCCTCCCTCCCCTCTTCTGAATTACTGGTCACTTGAGCACACAGATAAATGTGAGGTATTACTGTTTTCATGGAAGCGCATCTGAGCTCGTTTCCACGAGTTGGAACTGAGCAGCGCAGAAAAAGCCTCTTATCAGGATTAGAGTAAGTGCTGCGGTTATTAATACACTGCTGCACTGCCAGCTCACGCTCTGTTTGTGTGCCTTTCAGCTCCGACCTGCCGCCGAAAGGCTTAAATCATTTCTCAGGCCACAGTTAAATGATCGGGATAAGCAGAATAAAATCTCTATCGAGATCACATTGATATTTATCAGAATGAGGCTCCTTCATTGGGATTTACTGCAAAATTGCTGATACAGGAGGAGAGCTCAGGTTGAAGTAAATGTTGCAGCAGCTCAGTGTAGAAATACTTCATTACAATTTAAAATTCTATTTAAGTAGTGACTAAAGTAAATGAACTTAAAGGATCAGACCATTAATACTCATGAAACAGATAAGTCAGTCTAGAGCAAATTCTTACTGGCAGCTGGATGTCAGTAAAGTTACTGTAAAAAGTGACAGTAAAAACTTTTTACAGTAAAAAAAACCTTTCTGTAAATGATGTAATTGCATTTACAATAAAGTTGCTATAATTTGATTTTACAGTAATTTTTTTGTAATTTCTATATGCAATAAGATTACTGTCATTGAATAAAGATCAGACTTCTACTATACTGTACTCTCTTAAATCAGACTTTATAAGATGCTCATGTTTTTTGTAGTCTTTACAAAAGTGTATAACAGCATGAACACAGTGCTGTCATGGAAAAATGAGACTTCATATCCACTGACATGAAAGCACTGATGGGCTGAACTTTATCTCTGGATCTCAAAGCTGTGAAGCAGATTTATTAGAAGTGATCACAGAAAACATTTTGGCACGTCACCCTTTTTCCTGCTTCAGTTTCACGCTGTCAGGCGTGCCTGTGGCCTATTGAAAAGGACATTTAGTCGATGCATTGACTTTCATGGTGCGTACGCCTAAAATAGTTTAGGATTATTTAAAAATGTTGCAGCGTTACCTATCAAAAATCAGTTAGCAGACTAAATCCAGGTAATACTCTAGAAACAAAACTGAAAGCCAGCAATTGATTTTTACTCTAAATCCAACAAAGGTAAAAAAAAAATTTAAGACTGATAAGGATACCGATATTTGATCATTTTAAAATTACGATATTCTGAAATATCAGCTGGGATTGTTTTCATTTCAGACAAACAGATTTCCACAACACTTACATGTAGTTATTATTTACTCATTTAGGCCTTGATTATTCTCCATTGCAGAGATGAACACAGACAGCTGGAAACCCGACAGCCAACTAGCCATTATTTATTATACTTCTCTGAAGTCCACTTAAAGTCCATGACCTTGGGTGCATGCATAGTTGATGGGCTGTAATATAAACAAAAAACAGGCAGGTACACAGACAACCACACTGACTCTCGTATTCACAGTCTGATGAGGAAATTTACGTCACGCTGACCCTAGTGGCTAATGGACATGGAAAGTGTAACCCCACCTTTACTCTTTGCCCCACTGCTCGGATCACTTTGTTGTCGTTGTTTGCAGACTTCAAAACAGGTGTTTCCAACAGGAAGTTGCCTCGGGTGGACAAACTATGAAACATCAACACTCAGAACCAGGTTAAAGGGTGTTTCTCTTGTCTGTCCTTTAATTTTTACAGTGTGTGTGTGTGTGATCATTCTCTCTGTTCTTCCTACCTTGCATTTACATATTCATTATGTTATGGAGTACAATATATTCACTATCCCCCCTTTGCACCTGTCCAGAGTATCTCAGCTTTACCTCTAACTTTTTTCCAAAATGTTCAATCTCAGCTGACCCACTGCTGTACTCCTTTCTGATATTGCTCATCCATAAATACACAAAAAAGGTAGAGAGGAAAATCCATGCAATATAAACTAATACACAGTTTTTATTTCACTCCCTCTAAACTTCATAGTATGAGTGTAACGTACAATGACCTATGTTGGACATGCAATCTAGACATGCAAACATTAGCACATGCTACTTGGAAATATAAGCAGGTATAGAGCTCAGAAGCTCAGATATGGATAAATTTGATAATACCCTTATTACCAAAATTATGTATATTGGTAGGCTGATCAGTCCCACCCACAGCATCGAAATACAATTTAGCGGTGATAAAAGTAATGGCAATCACAGTTGCAAGAAGAATTCTTAGTGCATGAAAAGACACATCCTCCCCAAACTTCAAATATTGGACCAAAGTTATATTAGAAATTGTATCACCTGGAAGAAAATTGTAAAGAGTCGATGATGATGATAATGACAACTCGGGCAGATCTTTGTAATAAAATGTTATTAACAATGTTGATGTTGCAGTTTGAAGATATAATTGCAGGTGTGAGTGTCAGTTCCTGCTTGAAATTTTTATAATGATGCTCTCTATTCAAGTTTAATACAGGAAACGCAAATTTCAATAACAGAAAGTAAAATACGGAAAAAAAAAACAATAATTATATGGTACTTTGTCCCTCCTTATATATAACATATGTGTTTAATCTAACATATAAAAAAGCTCTGAACTAAAAGAAAAATATGTTTTTTGTTTGTTTTTTTTTTGTTTGTTTTTTTCATCTTTATTTTGAACATGTTGAAAAAGTACAACAAAATAGAATTAAAAGAGACAAATGAACAAAGCAAAACAAAAGGAAAACGAGCAACCACAACTCCAAATAAAGTTCATGTTCAAAAAGGAGCAGGAAGAAGCATAAGCTTATTTAATCCCACCCCTTTTCCACTATATAGTATCAATAGACTACAAAAATACCTCCTTGCAATTACATTATATGTCATGTGTAATTTTTTTTTTATATATATACATATGTGTTTCTGTCTATCCATACATACGTATATACACATACGCACATATACACATTTTCACCTCAAGGATACACAACCTACAAAAATATATATATACCCATACCAACATACCCGTGCACCCGCACACACATGAAAATATTAGACAAGAACACCCTATCAAATCTCTACCTTTCCCTGTACCCTGTAAAAACCATATCCTTAAACCGCTTTTTAAACTGCGCCATGCTTGGACATTGCTTCATATCTTTACTTAGTCTGTTCCACAGCTTCACTCCACACACAGAGATGCAAAAACTTTTTAATGTTGTACGGATACGAGGATGTTTTAAATTTAATTCCCCCCTCAAATTGTATCCCCGTTCCCTTTTAGAAAACATTTTTAGAATATTGTCAGGAAGCAGGTTATTTATTGCTTTATATATAATTTGTGCAGTGAGAAAATGAACCAGATCTGTGAATTTTAGAATTTTTGATTTTAAGAATAGTGTATGTTGCTGTATACAAGTATTGATTAAAACAGTGATATTATTATTATTATTATTATTGTTGTTGTTGTTGTTATTGTTATTATTATTATTATTGAGAAGTGTGGTGTTGTACTGTAGTACATTGTTGTGCGGTCCCCACCCCCTCACTTCCCTCCTGTTAATCCTTCATAGCGGCGCACAGTAAAGAAGCAGCGGCGGAAGCTAACAAAGCACTACTTGGGCTTCATTTGAGTAGATTTTTAACTAATAACTTGGTGAGTTGGAAATATTTTCAAGAATCCTGTAGCTGTTATATTTTCTAACACTTATTGTGGGTAATTATACTATTGTTCTGACTATAAATCTGTGTCTTCACCAATATTTCGCCTAGCCTAGCTAGTGAGCTAACGGACCGATAAAGTCATATAGACTTCCGTTATGCTAAGCTAAGTCTAGCTATCTAGCCTAGCAGGCTAAACCGGTACCGGTTTGTTACTGAAAGGAGAAGCAATGATTCCGGCTCAGCAGCTTGAAATAAACAACAAACACGACCTGAGTACATTATATCACACGTGTTGTACGCATTTACTGTAGCACCCCCGAGTTATATTGTAAACATTCAAATTGAGCTTACAGGACACACACATCCGGCTAAGCTAACGCTCGATGATTAGCTAGCTTCAGTAAACACAACATCCTCCTAGACTAAATCTGGGTCAAACACCACTGCGGGGGTCCTAGTTATATTTCGCTGACATACATTTGCATGTTAATACGGCCAGTGTTTTAGTGGTGGAATAAATGTTTGACGGGATATGTATGTGTATTTTTTTGTTCGAGCTTGATGCCGGGGAGGGTCAGAAACACCGGAGCGGAAACGTAACATCACAGTAGAGGGCTTCACTGTATGACTCTTAATTTGTAAGCCAACTATGTCGCGATGGGCCCTTGACAGTATGTACAGTATGGCTGATCAGGGGACCATGAAAAGCCGTGATAGTGGTGATATTGTCGCAGAAAGTTGCACAGTTAGCCCCGGTGTTATTTTGTTTGGACTTTGCCAGCACAGCTGAAGGTTGCTGGCAGTTCATCGTTTATCACAGGCATAGTGTTAGAAAGTTGGACAATGCTTCAGTGTAATAAAATAAAATTACCCACTCTGATATAGATGACGTTCACGTGTTTTAATCAATCTTCTATATTTTTTCCTGAAGCTATGGCAGCAATCAGGAAAAAGCTGGTCATAGTGGGAGATGGAGCCTGTGGGAAGACCTGTTTGCTCATTGTGTTCAGTAAGGACCAGTTTCCAGAAGTCTACGTGCCCACAGTGTTTGAGAACTATGTTGCTGACATTGAAGTCGACAGCAAACAGGTAAGCAGTATTTATTTCTTCCCAGAATCAGTGTTTTGTAACTGGAGGACTCTAGTGGCTGCACTCATGTAATGCTAAACCTATAGACCAGGGTGGGCAGTTAATTTTCACAGGAGACCTACATGTTAGATCTAGTCTAACCTGCACGAGTTTGAATTATTGAGGAGATTGAGTTCTGCTTATTGGCAAAATTAATTGTCTGACCTGCCCACCTGCTACCGACTGTGCACTGCTCGAAGATATTTCAGCTTCTAAACACTTTTGGCAGGTCGAGTTAGCACTCTGGGATACAGCAGGTCAAGAGGACTATGACAGACTGCGCCCGCTCTCCTATCCAGACACTGATGTCATTCTCATGTGTTTCTCCATTGACAGCCCTGACAGTCTTGGTAAGTAAAAACAGAGGAGACTCAGCAATGTTGCAGCTCATTTTTAATTTTAAATTATCATGACTAAACCACCAAAGGCTTTGTGGGAGGGGGAAAAAAGACTATTAAAAAAGGGAGGGGCTAGCTCAGTAGTTAGAGTGTTCGCCCCATGATCAGAAAGTCGGGGGTTCAAATCCACCGAACGGCTACCTGAGTAAGGTACCATCCCTGCACACTGCTGCCTGGGCGCTGGATTGATAGCTGCCCACTGCTTTACTGAGTGAATGGGTGCAGAGAAGGCTCTCCTTGAGTTAAAACCTCTGGAGATTGTTTTGAAATCTGAAACTCTTATGTGGGCCAGTTCTTTGTGTTTTCATTGGTGGTTAAAGGTGATTTTTGAACACCTTCTAGTTACTTCCACCACCTAGTTACCCCTACTCTATTTAAGGTCTTTGCCTTGTGTAGTACATAAAAGACAAATTCAGGATTCAAATATTGGCCTGAAAATTCAGAGTAAAATGTTTTTTACTTTCCATTTGTTTGTTTTACCTGATCAGCTTCTCTGTTAAATCTAAATGTTTAAATACAAGGGTTTGCATTAAAAAACTGTATTAGAAAAAATAAGATGGTAATACAGAAGAGGCAGGAGTTACGCGCTATATTATTACTATATATATTTAACAGTAGCGCCTGCGTTTTGAACCAGTACCAGGGTAAGAAGGAGTATTGACAATAATGTCACAGCAATCTTGCCAGGAATAAGACTAAGTGTACTAGAGGATACTGGCTTTTAGCTGCTCCCTCATTCACATGGTGTCACCACAGTAGGTTGCCCCCCATGTTTGATTTGGCAGATTCACCAGATGCCCTTCCTGATGAATGTGTAAACCATAACACTATGGAGCCACTATTTTTTTTTTTTTTTTAATATATGTGTATATTTATTGAAAATAATGGCTTGAGCACTTGCAGTGCCATTGGTAATGAGTAAAAAGAGTTCACTGTAAACAGACCCGATGGAAATTCTTGAGATTTGGTCATAGCTTGAATAATCTAATATTAAGAATCAGAAACATAGAAAACAGCTGTTGGACACGGAGTCATGTTATGACTGTCTCCCACCATGAGTCTCAGTTTGCTCTCCTCTGTACATCCCAGTGGACGCACATTTATCATGTGATCTGTACCATTACAGCACACCTTGTTCTCAAGTTTCTCCATCTAAAGTATCTGCTCTTCTTGATTCAAGTCCACACCACCTTATCTCGCATACAGCCCAGAGCTGCAACTTTTACAAGTTAAAAGAAAAGTCACTAGCAGTGATTTTAAGTTAAGACAAATAATTGTTTAATTTCTGCTTGCTGCCAAATGTCAGCATTTTATTTATCTTTGCATTGTTTGCACAGCAAAACATGTTAAATGGCATCCTCTTAGCCTATAGGAGTCTGTGATCATTAGTGTTTTCCTGCTGGGTTACAGAGCAACAGTAATCTATTAGGAAAATAATCAACAGCCGTGTGTCTCTGCTTTGAATGCTGCTATATTTGTCTCCTTATTCAGAGAACATCCCTGAGAAGTGGACCCCTGAAGTGAAACACTTCTGCCCTAATGTTCCCATTATACTAGTGGGAAACAAAAAGGATCTGCGTAATGATGAGCACACTCGGAGGGAACTTGCCAAAATGAAGCAGGTAAAACTTAACGCCCTGAGCAAGAAAACAAACAAACTTTGTCAGTGAAAGATTTTTTTCCTAGCATTGCTTCTTGACCTTTATATTTATTTTAGGAACCCGTTAAACCTGAGGATGGGCGGGACATGGCTAACAGGATTGGTGCCTTTGGATACATGGAGTGCTCTGCAAAAACAAAGGATGGTGTGAGGGAAGTATTCGAGATGGCTACCAGGGCTGCACTACAGGCCAGGCGGGGAAAGAAGAGTAATAAATGCGTCCTACTGTAAAAGGAGGCATGAGGACTGCTTCCTGGAGGGGGAAAGAAGGAGAATTAGGTCAAACCTACCCCCAACAAACCCACCCAAAAGACTGTTCTCCCCAGTTTTTACTAAAGGTGTAATGCTTTTACTTTTCTTTTATTTCTTTATTTCTTTTTGGTCTTAAGCAAAACTAGTCAGGTTCTGTCAGTATTCAACTTTGAAGTTATGGAAAATACTTTTTTTGTACTTAAACATAAGTAAATTTGCCATAATAATCAAACCTCCTTTATCCACACGTTCTATGTAATCAAAAAGGTCAGCGGGGGAACCGTGGTGTCAGCCTGCCAACTGCAGTTAAGTGCTTAAGCCCTGCGAGCTGATCAGAGGAATGTTTCCACAGCCAACTAGGGTTGAAGTACCTGCTCACTGTGACCCGTAGTCCTTTAATTATTGACAAACTCGTGCACACAAAGTCAAAATTTGTTTGTGTTCTTCATAAACAAATCTGCATTATGATCACATGCACAATGCGAGACTGGAAAATCTTTTTGCTAAAATGCAAATGGAAACTTAGTGTTTTGTGTAATAAATTACTTTGTAAGAATCTGGATAACTTGCATCACTTGATTGAACACTGAATTAAACTGAACTAATGAATTAAAGCCCTGCCTAGGAACAGAATTCAACTTTATGCAGTGGTGAGGAAAATCAAAGGCCAGTCTATGCTTTAGGCTCCTCAGTTTATGGTGAACATTTTGGATTAATACGGGCCACTCTTTGGCCGTTCCCCTGTGAGCTGAGTGCACACAAGCATGTCAATGAATCCCATTAATAGTTGTTAAAAAACTGACAGCCGAGATGTTTACTGATCAGGACAGTGAATGTGAAAAATAAACCTGCCCAGGCTTTCTGGGGGTCAAACTGCCTCTACCTTCACTTTTTGTTCTAAGAACATCAGTAATCATCTATAGTTGAAGGTGATCTTTTTCCTGAATGAAAACATGAGCCAAAAGTAGTTTCAAACTTTTACTCAACATTTAAAGCAAACACAATTGAGAACCCCACTTCTTTGGTGTCTTTTCAGTTTTACATGTAAGAACTGAATTTTTGATTACAAATAATTATTATTAAACCTACTGAGCTTTATAAACAGTGAAAACAGAGGTATGTAACAAATATACAGTTAAACAATTCATTGGATGCACATAGCTAAAACTACTGCAGTTTCACTTATCAGTGTATTAAATCCAACCTTAATAATGCAAAGTTCTGAAGAGTGTTGAGCACTTAGTTTTGTCCAGGACTGTTGGATTCGACTGCATTTATTTTTAACTGGGTGAAAAACATTCAAGCTAAAAAAAAAAAAAACCCAAACATATAATGGAAGGATATATATTGCCAGTGAAACTGATGCATGCTGGATTAAATTTATTTAACCAAAAAACAAACCCATACACTCAATGTTTGTTTAAATCAACAACAACCCTTTGTGCAGGCTGTAACAAACTGGGGGAAAAAACTGGCAACACAAAACATCTGCAGCTCACCATCAGAAAATCTATAATCATCAGTTCAATAGTCATGCGTTCTTCTTGGCGGGAAGTCCTGAGCGGGCGAGAAATATCGGAAGAACAGCCAGCGCTCCTAGAGCTACTGCCACCAACGGTCGGTAATAAAGCCAGCCGAACCCAATAACGATAAGAGACAGCGAGCAGGAGACGCACAAGGCGAAGATCTTCAGTCCAATGGACACGAGCTCTCTAAGGACAGGAACCCAGTCCACTGCAGGAACACAACAGACAGGAAGTATGAATAATAGAAGCAAGGAAGGAAACTCACAACTGTACAGCAGCAGAGTTAATTTACCCAGCGTGTAGATGATTTGCATGCTCAGCTGGATACCAAGGAACATGAGGGCCCAGCCTGCAGCCCGGAGTCCCCAAGTCTTCATGCTGTTAAACTGGTGCTCCCTCGCAAACACCTCCTACAGATAACACAGAAATACGCTTTACCCAGATAGACACACAGAAAGAGAATTTAAACCAACAAATGGAAATGAAGCCCACGCTGACCTCCGCAGAGAGCTCCTCCAGATAAAGGATCTCCAGAGTGTCTCCTGATCTGGTTTTAAATGGCAGCAGCTGCTCCCCTCTCTGCATGGCAACAATACTGACCTGAAAAACAGCATGTGAAGCAGAGTTAGAGACTTAGTTTTAATCTAATATAAATACACAAATAAGCAACTCTCTTGACAATATTTGTTCCTGCTCATATTTCATGGTAAACTGAACATTTGTTTGTTTGGGGCTTTTGGTTGGAATATAATAAACGGCACATTTGGCTGAAGAACATACATCTTTTTCCTCAACAAAACAACTTTTTTTTAATAATCACATAAATGTAAGCAGCATGCCAAAGGAGACCAGAACTGTCCTCATGTTGATCTACTAAACTTTCAAAAAAAACAGCTGTGAAAAAGTTTTACCATGATTATTTGGTGCTGTGTAAATTTACTCATTTAACAGTATAGTACATTCTATATGTTTACAGTATACAATTTTGTATTTCATGTGCAGTTTTATATTAGTACATGGGTACATTTTTAGATCAAAACAATCAAGAAAATATCCCATGCCATTCTGTTATGGATAAAACTTAAAAACAATATTAAGTTTCCATACCTCCACCAAAATATTCTAATAACTACTCATAAACAGTAAATGTTTGAAATACTTGATCATATATTTGACTATCCAAATTCTATTTGTGTTAATAATCATTTAAAACACTACTTAAATTGATTTTTATGAAAGTTAATGATAAAATATTTTATTATTGAATGTTATAAATAGCAACATAAGAACATCATGTAGGTTGTGACCAAAGACAGTACATAAAAGATGGACATAGCTGTAGTGAAGTCAACCTCAGGAATAAGGGTTAGAGTTTACTGAGAATATTGCATGCTCATGACTATTACGTTCTACTGAAGATTTGATGCTAGCAACTGAGACCATAAACTTATTAGGAAAATGTTTACTAGGTAACAGTGAAATGTCACTTTTCCATAAACTTCTACACAATCAGACTTTGTTTTTAACCAGGAGTCTCCCCCTGGTGGCCTTCAGAAAGAATGCAGGTTTAAGGCACTGAATTCACTTTTCAGATCCTGAAGGTACATCAGTCTCCTATAAACAGACTACAGTCAAGACCCAGTGCAAATGTAGGCAGAGAATGTGTTAATCAGACATTTGTAGCTTGTACCGTCTGAGCAGGGCCGTGGCGTGAGTTGTCACTGCTCAGTCCAGCGAAGGAGAACCTCACCCGCACATCACCCACCTCATGAATTCAAACAAATTCAAAGTCAACAAGTGTGGAACGCATAACATATAACAGAGTGCAACACTGAGATTATTTGTGAGGCACTCACAACTAGATGCTCACCTCTGGCCTGCGTGGATTTGGAGTGTGATAGAAGTAGTCATCATGAATAGAGAGAAAAGGGTCCAAGTTAAAGACAGGAAAATCCCTCAAACTCAGTGTCTGGAAGTTATTTATCTGCTCCACCAGGCCTGATGATAACCAGGAAATTAACTGAGTACTAAAATCCAAACACATGAAACACAGCATATGTGTAGTGGCTGTGTGTTTGCTTAGACACAAACCTTTAGACAGAATGAATGGCCCAGTTCGGACTTCAGGAGACACCACCATCACATTCTCAACAGCCATGGCACTGAAACACAAAGACTGAAGTGAGCATGGACTGGATGCCCACACAAACACAAGAAGACCATATCAAATATGTTTTAGTACCTCGGGTTCTGGTGACCAATCTCCTTATCAAAATTACGACTGTTCACCAACTCTGCCTTCCACTCAGTGTCTACAAAAAAGGAATTATAAAATATAACCTCTATACACAGGCTGTGCTGTTACCAAAGATTACAGACTGCAAAAAATAAACTCACTGTAGGTGTATGTAGTTTCTGTTTTGGTTTCACCGTTCTCCTGGTAATCCCTGAATTAAAACGTACAGTCAGCTGCATTCTAGCCAACATGTCCACACCCAGTCCCACCCTGAGTGCTGACAAGCCTTACCTGCTCTCATGGTACTCCACCCACTGATACATCTCCACCTGCCGCTTCAGCTTCACTGCATGCACCACCACTTTGTAGTTGGGGTCATACAGGGGCTGCACAGACACATCAAAATTTAACAGCAACAAACCAGATGAAAACACTTACCTGAAGACAACAACACTTCCACCTCTACTAATAATTATGATCAGCTGATTGGTGCATGCAAAATTCTTAATGCTGGATTATTAAACACGACAATGTCAAAGTCTGACAATGTAATCAGTACAATAATGCATTACTATAAACACAAACAAAAGAATTCAAGTGAAACTATATGAAGCTTCAGTATACAGATTAAACAATAAAACATTAGCAGAATCAAAACAAGGAAGCCAACTGGTGGCACATTTATGTTCACAAAAAATAAATTAAAAATGGAATCAAATACTAGCAAAAATATTTACATGTTGTACAACTCCTGAGGTATTAATTTAACATAGATAAATACAACACTATTTCTCACTGTCTGAGTCTCTCTCAACATTACCTTCTTTTGTCCTCCTCTGCAAAGATATGAGGGTAAACACAGCCAGATAACAGGCACCACCGCCTGTTTATCTAAACAAACTAACTAAGGCAGCCCTGAACTTTTTAGACATCACCTGACAGAGATGCACGTGAGAAGGCAAACAGCCAGAGCAGAAACTCTTTAACCTGCCAGCCCCATGGAACAAAGTCTGCGTGATGTCCAATTGCATCCATGCGAGAAAAACATACGTAATCGGTCACAGAGTTCAGAGCAAGCAAGCGGTCGTCCGCCCGAGCTGATTCCTCACCTAAACTGAAAGGAGTATGTTCCGACCCGATTCCCCCAACATTGCTCAGTTCTCTGCAATGGATCAATGGATGGATGTTCTTTTACCAAATGTAAATACAAAGGTTATTCGATTTCTATCACATATTTAAACAAATGTTTAAAATGAGCTGTAGGGAACATATAGTTAACTGAAATGACAATGAAAACTAGACTTGGAAAAAAACTAAAGCCAACTAAAATAAAAAATAAAACATCTTCCAGAGTTGTCCTTTATTTTTAGTAAGTAAGTAAGTAAGTAAGTAAGTAAAATTTATTTATATAGCACATTTCACAGATAAAAATCACAAAGTGCTTTACAATAAGATCAGACATACAAGTTAAAATTAATTAAAAGCCCGTTTGTATAAAAATGTCTTCAGCTGCTTTTTAAAGGAGTCAGTAGAGTCTAGACAGCGTAAAGACAACGGCAGAGAGTTCCACAGCCTAGGTGCCAGTGCCTGAAAAGCCCGATCCCCACGTGTTTTAAATCTAGTACGTGGGACCACCAGTAGCCTCTGACCTGAAGACCTAAGTGCTCGGGATGAAGCATGAGGTTTCAGCAGGTCAGAGATATACTGGGGAGCTTCACCATGCAGAGCTCTAAAAGTTACAACTAAAATTTTAAAATGAACCCTAAAATTTACAGGCAACCAATGAAGTGAAGCCAAAACTGGAGTAATGTGTGACCTCTTGTTTGTACCAGTTAAAAGTCTTGCCGCTGCATTCTGTACAGACTGAAGGCGATCCAGAGCTGATTTGTTAAGACACGTAAAAAGACCGTTACAATAATCCAAACGAGAAGAGATAAAAACATGAATAATCATCTCAAGTCTACTTGTCAGTTTGGTAAAATTCTGTTATCACAGAGTGCCTGATGGGGCATGAATACACATGTTGAGCTAGACTCTGGATGACATTACCGTGAGTCAACAAAGAGTTTTGTTCGTGTAATCCCTGCACTGATTTTAATTCATTAAATGAAAAGATAAAAAAAACAAAAACACTTCTTATCAGGAAGTGATAAGTGTGTAGCTCAAGCAAATGTAGAATGATGGAAGTTCTTAAAATATCTGGATGTTCGATATCTGAGCACAGTTTCGGAGGCCTGCAGAAACCCTAATTTTAGGGGTAGGGGACTCTAAAACTATACAGAAGGCACAAGTTTTGAAGTGCATCTCCACCTGAAATTCTGTCATGCAAATCTGTGACAGTCAGGTTAAAGGCTCCAGACAAATATCCTCCATATCTTAATAATTAAAAGACTGAAACTAATACAGAACCTTTGAACTGCTCTGTAAACTAACAGAAACTGAACTCAATAAATAAAAAAAAATAAAAAAAGCTAAAACATAATAAAAAAAATATACAAATCAGGGACACCGACACATATACGCTAGGGCAGACCACTGTTCAAAATACAGGCGAGCTCACCTCTGCAGTATGCAGCTTCGCAGACAGGTGAACTAAACGGCCGTTGTTTTGTGTGTCGAAGCTGATATACGGCCCCAGTGATACAACCTGGGAGAGACCTTCATCCAGGGACTTTGCTGTTTGCAGAGTCCGTCCCTGCACAAAGAAACCATCACAGGTACAAAGTGCTGTCTTTAGTCTACTGTTAAATCATCGTGACCATGATGATCTGAGCTACTTAGAAGGAAATGTTTCCTACCTCATTGGTGAAGAGAACATAAATCGAGAGGAAAAACAGTCCCACACCAACAACTGCTCCTCCTGTAGTTTCACTTAAACGCTCCAGAAATCCAGGGTTGGACTTTGCAGACACTCGCTTGTGTTGGTCTGGAAACTGGACAAACATAAGAAAAACCTGAATAAACACGACATCAACAATTGGGCGACAGAACCAACTTTTGGCTTCTCATTAGTTATTTTCTATATTCAATCTTTTAGTAATGACATGACCGTAACAAGACATAACCAGTAACTTAACAATAAACTGTCTTTTTAGTTTATATATATAATAATACACCAGGTGTTTATCTGAAAACATATGATGGTTCAAATACATGAATCTTAGAAAGCGAAGACACACATTCCTCTGATGTATTACAACTAATCCGGGACCAGCCAACTGCAGTTCTGGTGAGAAGTTTATATCCACTCATCATGGACATGAATGTAATTTTGAGCTTTTTGCTATGTATTTGAACTGTTCTGCTTTCAGGATGTAATCATTGTACAACATACATCTTTACTGACTTTAAAAACCAAGGATTGGGTGAACAAAGTTGGAATTTATTTGGGATTTTCTCTAATCCACACAAGGTCAAATATATACATAAACCCCCACCAATATTTGGTTAAATGTCTCTTGGTATGTTGCACCTCAACCAGACACTTTTGATTACTCAATAAGTTTGTGTTAGAATTCTGGCTGGGTATCTGACCATGCGTTTTGACAAAATTGGTAGAATTCATTTGAAACAGTCGGTTTCCTGGCATGGACATGGTTTTAAGCATAGTCCACAAATTTTCAATAGGGTTGAAGTTGGGGCTTTGGGGAGGCTATTCGATAAGATTAATGTTAGCCTGCTTTATCCATTCCAAACAGTCTTTGGTGTCTGCTTAAGATCATGCAACTGTGTCCAAGTTTAAACCATCTAACTGTTGATTTGAGGTAAAGGTAGCCCTCCTCCTTTACTATTCCATCTACTTTGAACCAGTACTGCTTGCAGCAAAATTTGTTGTTTAGAAATGAGTTCAAGAGGCCTTCTTAACTTGTGTAAATCTGCAGTTCTTCTTAGATCATTATCAAGCTCCCCTTTCTTCTGGTCAATCATTGGATCGCTGTCCATTTTTATGCTGAGAAACTAGCATTTTTAGTTGATCTTGATAACCAGTGTAAAGTTAATAGGCCTTGGTTTATCAATTTAACAGACGCTGAAGATCCTTCAGTATCAAAATACAGTGAATGTATATTTATACTTGAGCCCGTAGAAAATCTAAATTATTTTCAAGCTTGTGCACCTAGTTTTTGTTTTTAAAGTCACCACCCTGGAAAAAAAAAAAAAAAAGAACAGTTCAAAGAAATCATTAAAAACCCAAAATTATGACGTTCATGCCCACGATGAGTGGATGTAAACTTCTGGCAGTAATTGTATGTGTCCCTACATGCAGCCTGTGGTCCCACGTCTCATCATGACTTAGGCGTGCAAGTGACACGCCCCTTTCACACTTCCTAATTTAATTTTCATGTCTGGGCGAAAAAATTAAGACTAAACGACGACTCACCGCTGTTGCCATTGTACGTACCAAATTAAAGCATTAGATGATGATAAACTGACTGAAAAAAGGCGGCAGTTGAGGGTCTAACGCTGCAGCAAAGTTGTGTTAACTGCACACATAAATCCGGAAGGAGTTTACATTTATAAAGTAGAACCAAAGACCATTATTCGAGCCACCTACTGTCTGTGCTGAAGACATTTCTCTACTTTCTCGACCGCCAATTTTCAAGGAACACGAAGATGCTAGCAACCACAAACTGACACGCCAACGGCCAGTAAGCTTTCACTTTTACGCTGGAGTATCCCGAAACTCGCCCAGAGAGGCGGACTATGTGAGATAATAAACTGTGGTTCCCGCCCAACTCGTCGGTTGCCCAAGTGATATTAAGCGATTGCTTTAAGGAAAAAAAAAAAGCAGTTCCGGCACAGACCCGGAAATCTTTTTTCTCGAGGCTTCATGGGAAATGAAGTTTTTTTGGTGACTGTTGTCAATAGAGACGTGAGAAAGAAAAAAAAATACTAGAAATGTATTAGATATTTATTGATATTTAATTTGTTTTAACAGTTCAGAGGAAATAGTATACTGTAAACATATATAGAATGTACTATACTGTTACTGGAAAGAAAAACAAGCAGGCTCACTGAAACCCACATACATCATAAAGGAAAATATTGAAAAATATTTATTATATTTTAGTTTTATACAGAACATGAAACTTTATGGACGGATGTTGTTCATAATATGACACCTAGTGGTGATAATCAGAAGTACCTCAAGAATATGCACATTTGTACTTTTTCTCCACCACCTGGCATTTAGTTTCTTTTCAAATTATAACCACGACAGCGTATCATTAATCTAGCTGTTTGTTTGTTGCTTGGTTGTTTTACAGATTGTAATCATATTACAAGAAAGCAGCATACTCTTTTTCCTTCAATAATATAATTTTTAACAAAATAAACAAACAAAAAACTGAAAAACAGACACAGTAATTTGAAAATGTGACTTAGTATCATTACAACAGTGGGATATATTATATGTATAATAATACCTCAATCTGCAGTGACTGAGAAGCTCATAGAGCCAATCTCTCTCTATCACACACACACACACACACTGCATAGATGGATCTTAAGAGGATTATTGCAAAGGGGAACACCAAGCAATTGGTGTCACCTATCATCATCACACCTGTTTCTGTCTTACTACACACAGACCCACACTCATAGACTGTGACAGGCTGCGGAAACAAAGCACTGGTACTCAGTGAGGATGGAGCAAGAATATGATATTATCGTGCTTGGAACTGGACTGAAGGTACGAAATTTATATTTGCTGTAAAATCTAAAATGAAATCATCTCTTTTGAATCTCTCTATATATATGATTCTGTTGGTTATCAGGATTTTATGCCTACTTTATTGTCAGTACAAAGCTTGAACCCCGTGAACTGAGCAGGCCATCTTTTGTCATGTGGTCTGAGGTGGAAATGTTCTGAGCTGACCAAAACCAGAAACCCCGCTGTGAGCAAGATATATATTTTCTGCAAAGTGCTAAAAAAAAAGATGCCTCACAATAACTGCGACCTTACCAAAACAGTTCTCAAGCAGAGGCACAGTCCTTTTACTGAGCACTTGCAATCATGACTTCTTTCATTTCCTCTTTTCACTCTTGATTCAATAAGTGATTAAAGTCTGTAAGTGAGTGGAATTTCTGCCATGTTTTTCTTGCTTTTACTAATGATCCACGTGCAAACTTGTTAAGCTCTTGCTGGCTGCTAAGGAGGATTTATGGCAATTACCTCTTTAGTCTAGTCCTGATCTGTATACCTTAAACTACCAGCTGCTGATTCGGACACATTTGCCCATCTGTTTTCTTCCTCATCTCTTTCAGGAATGCATCCTCTCTGGTTTAATGACTTTAAGTGGGAAAAAGGTTCTCCACATTGATAAGAATCCTTATTATGGAGGAGAGAGTGCATCCATTTCTCCTCTTGAGGAGGTGCAGGCAAACAAATACAAAACTCATGAGCATGCATGCACGTACCTTCATTTGAACACTGATGATAATAAGGTGTTTCCTTTATTTGCAGCTGTACAAGAAGTTTAAGACTCCTGGTCCTCCAAAATCGATGGGCAGAGGGAAAGAGTGGAATGTTGACCTCATCTCCAAATTTTTTCTTTCCACCGGTGAAAGTTTACTGTTTATTGGCAGGTGTTTGTGCAATGTCTTGCTGATTGTTTTGATAGAAATGAGCATGCTTTAATTTTTGGGTGCTGTGGTTTGTGCAGGTCAGATGGTAAAAATCTTGTTGCACACCGAGGTTACTCGGTATCTGGACTTTAAAGTCGTAGAAGGCAGCTACGTATACAAAGGAGGAAAAGTGCACAAAGTCCCCGCCAGTGAAAAAGACGCAGATGCTTCAGGTGCCAAATCAAGTCATTCCACTTTTTAAGACAAGTTTCCAGACGGCCATAGCTTTATAACGCTGAAATATACATATTTTCAGATCTGATGGGCATGTTCGACAAGAGGAGGTTCAAGAAGCTGCTGCTCTTTGCTCTGAACTTTGACATAAGAAACCCTCGCACCCACCATGATGTGGATCCTCACAAAACGACCACAAGGGAATTGTTCCATCGCTACGACCTGGGACTTGATGTCATAGAGTTTATAGGTCACGCCATAGCCTTGCACAACAGTGAGAGGTCAGTTATAGGAACTTAAGTGAAACAACACTGAAAACAGATTAGTAGGCATGATTTAAACCTGCCGTCCTCGCAGTTACCTGGACCGGCCCTGTGTGGAAACCATCAGTCGGATCAGGCTGTACTCCGATTCGCTGTCCTGTCGAAACACCAGTCCGTACCTCTACCCACTGTATGGTCTCGGGGAGATACCACAGGGTTTTGCCAGGTCAGGTTCTCACTAGTTCTTTGATTTATGTTCATCAACAGTTTAATTAGTTTAATTCGACTATTTTAATTCGAGTGCAAAAATCCTAGATATTTGCACTCTAGGATTCAGTGCAAGTATATCATCATCAGCCTCCAGCAAGCATGACCTTTAGTGGATGTTCTTCCACTGAAAGTTAAAAGTGGCCCCTTTTTTAAATTTCCATATTATCAGTCAGTCAGTCAGTCAGTCAGTCAGTCAGTCAGCATGATTCACAATTCAAAATAAATCTTATTTATCATATACCAAGCCCCTCAGTTCATCCTTTAACAAAGGCTTCCTTCCACGTCCCTTTAAGAAAACTTTCTTCTGATTGGTTGCTCCTTGCAAACAAAAGGTTTGAGCTGCAGGTGGGTGGGGCTTATCTTCTCAAAGCTAGAGCTGCGTACCTGAAATGATCACATTAGGGAAATCCAGTCTTAATGACAACATTCAGAGCCAAGAGTGGGAAAAACTTTATAAAACCAAATGTTCAGAGTTGCTGATGTCTTTCTTTTAAACTTTTCTCATTTTTAATGTGAGCATGTGCCATTATAGCACTTTCTAGCACACATAAAGAAAAGCATAATAAAAGCTGTTTAAAGGAAACGTTCAGACATTCATGCTTGCACTTATAAGATCCAGTCCTCTTTGTGTTTCAGACTGAATGCAGAGTATGGAGGAACGTTCCTGCTGAACAGGGCAGTGGATGAAATTGTGATGGATAGTGGCAAAGTGAAAGCTGTGAAATCTGAGGGGAAGGTGGAGTAGACAAAATTAAGCCCTGCAGTCACTGTCCAGGAGGCATTTGTACTCCCACTGATGTGGTCTTTTTTTCTCTCCTTCTAACAGCTGTTCCACTGCAAACAGTTAATCTGTGATCCCAGCTACGTTCCCAATCGAGTGAGGAAGGTGGGGCGTGTCGTTAGGGCGATCTGTTTTCTAAATCATCCAGTTAAACACACTCATGATGTCAGCTCCTGTCAGATCATCATCCCTCAAACTCAGCTTAACAGGAAGTCAGGTACTAAGTTATACTACCACAATATCTAACATGTACAAAGTTGAACCCTCTGACCTGCTCTTCCTGGATTTGCTCCTTTACTACTTCCTCCTCCATGCAGACATTTATATATCTGTAGTGTCCTTTGCGCACAACGTGGCATCAGATGGGATGTACATCGCCACAGTCAGCACAACTGCAGAAACCACCAACCCAGAGAAAGAACTGCAGCCAGGACTCGAGCTCCTCGAACCCATCGTGCACAAGTTAGTGACACTCTGAAGACTTAAATCTGACAGTTTGTGTTTTTGTGGTGTGATTTAATTCAGTGCAATTCCTTCTTGTTGAATTCAGATTTGTGTCTGTCAGCAATCTGCTAGTTCCAAATGAAGATGGAAAAAAGAGTCAGGTAATGATGGGGTTTCCCCAAAACTAAAGCGATGACACGACTGAAAATAGGATGGTGGCCTTAATTTTTTTTTAAAATCTCTTCTGTCCTTTTAGATATTTGTGTCCCGCTCGTATGATGCAACAAACCACTTTGAGACTGAGTGTGAGGACATCAAAGACATGTACCAGCGACTCACAGGGACAGAGCTCAGCTTTGCAGGATCCAGGCACCAGTCTCATAACTCTGATGACGACTGAGGACAGCTTGATGTCAGCAGCTGGGAGGCCGTAAATGTATGTGGTGTATAATCATCATTCATGGATGATTATATGCCACAGCTGTAAAGCAGAGGGTGTGATGTAGGGTGTAGACTGAACAGAGAGTGTGCTACGTAACTGCCTGACGTCTCTTTTGCCTCTTAATTTGTTTGCTGTAATTTCTCTCTCGTGTGAAAATCTGCTAAATAATGATGTTGCTACTTTGTTATGAGAGAAGGTAATACATCAATATGACTTTTCTGCTGGATAGTTTTTACATCGGTTGTTTACACCAGAGTGAAACTTTTTTTTATTTTATATTACTTATCAGGTTATATTGACTAAAAAACAGAAAATGTTGTGAAAGTATTGAATGTAGTGTCTACCTTCACATTCAATGTTTGTTTGCTCTTCAAATTCACTTATGTATGGCTGAATAATTTCTGCATAAGGAAAAGAGGTCGCCTAACTGGATGTCAATCAATCAATCAAGGCTTTATTCGCCACATGCAGGTTGCCCTGCAGTGAAATGGCCTTACACACACACACACACAACACAGACATCACATGGGGATACAGGTCAGAGATCGGTAGCGTTACAGAAAAAAAACAAACAAAAAAAAAACAAACAAAAAAAAAACCACTGAAATATACACTACAATAGGAAAGTACAAGAGGGAAAAAAAAGAGACCTCTACTCATGCTGGGCTCCTGGGAGGACAGCATGAGAACAGGAGAAGAAAAACCTCCTCTGCACAAAAAGCACATAAATGTCCACAGCACAACATTATGGAACATGTGACAAGCAACGGGGATGGGTAACTTTAACCAAAGTTAAAGTTAATTAGATAGATTTTTTTTTAAAGTGTTGATCAGTGAGAGTGTTTATGAGCTGCAACATGCACCTTGTGAGCGATGAGGGTTTAAAGTGTTCAGCCTGACGCTGGGCATCTTCACCGAGACAGATGATTAGCGATGAATCACACTGATGTGTAAAGGATTACTGGACTCTCTTATCTGTGGGGCTTATGTGTGAGAAGGACAAAGCCAATAAATTAGATGCTGCACAAACAGCTTGTCAGCGGCAGCGTGCTGGATGCAGAGGACGGACAGACGCACGGAGTAAAGAGGCTTATCCAAATGAAGGACACTGGCCACCAGCACCTCTGGTAGCCACATTAAAATTATTTCTCTAACAAACGATCCCCTTTAACTGCTGCCCAGATCACATTCAAAATGAAAACACTGCATGCTGAGGTGATCTTACTACTGATTTATTGTAAACAATAAAAATACATTACACTTATGCTGCGGTAAAGCATTTATATTTTTATACAAGCAAAACTTGTGTTTATATATAAGAACATGCTTACACTTTATTACAGTCTAATTCTGGTTTCCTTGACTTGAGTCTTCTTTTAAACTCATGCACACAGAGCTATAAGCAGCTATAAGCAGAATTACAACGGTGATGTGAGACATTTTTATGTGCAACCACATGCTGGCTGAAATGTGTGACAGGAAACCCAAAATCAGCATTCACTGGTACACAAACCTCACAGAGATCACTGAGTCAAGGTGGCTGCTACTGTGCTCGTTTACAGCTCTGTATTTATAGACTGTCAGATAGTTATGTTACACTGGGCCTTTGTGCAGCCCTCAGCTGTACGAATTAAGCTTTTAGCATTTTAGCTCCTCACCCTTGAGCTAGCTTCTCCTGACTGGCTGATCCTTCCAAACAGGTTTGAACAGCCAGAGGTGTGCGCCTTAGATGACCACATTAAAGGTATCAGCTCCCACTGACATCACCCAGAGACAAAGTTTAAAAAGAAGTTTTAAATGAACATCTTCTGGTACGACACTATAAATGTCAGGAAAAGCGTAAAAGAGTCACTTAACTTTGTCTATAAGGAAATAAGTGTTGTAATAAAGTGTTGGAGCTTGTTACTACTGGAGTTTTGTGCACAGGCAGATCATCAGTGAATTGCTGACCATTTGTAGTGATCACCTTCTACATGTTGTTGTTGTTCCCAAGGACTTCAAGTGCTGTGCTGGGTGATGGAGGGATTAGGCCTGCGGCTACAATTCTTCGCTCGCTCATTAGGAAGTTGAAGGTTGCACACGCGTTTGGCTGCAAATCAGAATAAATGAATGAAAAAAGACATAAAAAGAGACAATAAGAAGTATTCCAGTGTCTGTTAGCTCATGCCATGCTGTCAGAAAGAGAACAGGATCACTTGTATTTTACCGTGTCCTGCACCTCCACAGAGATGCCTTTACTCTTCAGAAGTGCGAGCACCGAGGGGTTGATTCGTTCCAGTCGTGCGCCTGTGCCCAGCACGAGAATCTCTTCACAAACCAGGAAGAACAGACAATGAGGCAGATAACATTAACAATAACATTTCAGTGGACACATAGAAGAGAGTGGACACTCTGGCAAGGACATTAATGTACCTCACTCAGTGGAACACAAATGATTCTCAAGACTGAGCTGAAACAGACTGAGCGCGCTCGCTGCCCGACTGTTAAAACAGGCAGACACATGAACAGACGTTTGCCAAAAGAGAAGCGACTGTGCCAACAGTGTGGTGGAGCCATTATACAAACGGAGCTGCACTTTCTCACTGCCACTGCTCAGTTCCTCACACTTTCACAAGTCCACATACAGAGTGTTGGTGGTGCTGACTAATGAGCCAGAGCAGACTTTCAAGACGGGAACCATGACAGATAACCCAGCAAATGCTTTGGTTTTTTTAATAACTGTGGACCAACTCACTTTTCTCAGTATTTAGTTTTGGTTAAAAACTAGCTTAGAAAAAAAAAATCAAACAAAGAAAACATCTGCTAGTTCTGCTTTGACACTGTTGGTCATAACATTTTAATTCAAAGCCTTCATGATGCAGATGGTTTAATAGGTCTGGTCCTCGATTGGTTTTCATCACAATAATGAATCTTACCTTACAATACAAAGTGACCTGAGTCAACTGTTGTCGTTGTTGACTGTAGAAATAAAATTGAATTGTACTGAATCACACCTCCAAAAAAACTCCAAAAGTAAAAATTAATCAGGGGTTCCTCAGGGGTCTGCCCTTGGTTCTTTACCTCTTTAACCTTTAAATGTTCCTGTATGGTTCCATCTTTAAAGAAGACAGAATATATATTCTTATGCAGATGATACATGGTTCTACCTATCATTTCACATTGATGATCATTTTACTCTGAAAAATTACTGGATGTTTAGAACATTTTAGAACTAAGCAGACCAGACAGAGATATTTGTTGTTGGTTCAGAAAGTCAGAGACAGAAGATTTGTTCACATGAATCAACTCTGTCTCTGAAAGACCTCGAACAAGTCAGAAACCATGGCATCACTTTGCAGTGAACTCAGCTTTGATAATCAAGGTTACCAGAACTGCTTTGTACCACTTAAAAAACTCTCATCTTTAACTGAATCTGTGAAATCGGTCCATACTTTCATATCAAGCAAGTTAGATTATTGTAATGTTCAATTTGCAGAATTGACAAAATCATCAGTCATCTGTTTAAAGGTCTGCTTTAGTGCGTATATTGGTACCTATTTTTGGTTCAAGCATGTGGAAGAGTGAAACACTTTCTTCTGTGATATCTTTCGAACTTCCAATCTGCCGAGAGAGAAAACACACACATATATAGTTGTTAAAATAAACTACAAAAAAAAGAGAATTTCATAAACTTTCACAAACTGCAAGGACAGACTGGAAAGCACTTTCACCTTCCACTGCAGGATAGCAGGAGGCAGCACGGCACAAGGCCCATACACCCTGTTTCCATCTATATTGAATCCTGCAGAACTGTAGCTGTGGATGAGGACCCCATTGTCTACATCCTTCTGCATGACAGAGACTGTGGTGCGCTGGTACAACTCGTCATCGGAGGGTTCCAGTCTATGAGCTCGGGACAAAAATGGGCTAAAGAAAGACAACAAGACCCCCACAGTAAGTTAGAACCAGAACCATAAACAGTAGCAATTGTTTTCTATAGTACTGAAAAACTGTGGGTGTGAAACAGATAGAAATCTCTGCACTTTGAATTTCAAAAAACAGGCTGCACCACAGAGCTGCTGCCCAACGGCCCACTTTACACGCCAACCCACTGATAAGGATGTGAGCCAAAAGCTTTAGGCCTCGTTCTGCAAGCCAGGAGCCAAAATATCTGCTCGTCCAAGGAGCTGCAGCAAATGTTAGCCTGCTGTCACACTTTCTTTCCAGGCTATTCCAGAAAACTGAGCTAGATCAGCACTTCTTTGATTCTGAGCTTCTCTGGTCAGATGGAGTCTCACCAGCGGCTTTTAGCAGTGCGACTGGCAATATAAGCCCGGGAAACAGCATGTATGACAGGTAGGTATGAGATAGTAGTAGATGAGAGGTCTGCTGCCTCTGTTGTGTGGAGTGGAGCGGGTGTGGTGGGTTGTCCACGTGCAGTTTCTTCAGTGACCTCCTGTCGCTCAGTGACTCAGACAGCTCCAGATTCTGACCAATGATGGTTCCAGCCCTGTGAATTTGTTTGTTGGTCCTGCTGGCATATCTGGCACTAATGCTGCCAGCAGACAACAGGCTAAGAGAAGAGCTCCAGCATTCTGTTGCACAAATTGATCGTACCCTTCTTGCACAAAACATCAGTGTTGGTCCTCCATATGATGAACAAACGCAATAAATAAATAAGAATAATCTCAAATTTAAACCTGGATGAACTGCAGTTTAGGTTGATCTAAATTTCCCCATCAGCTGCATAGTTACACTCAAGTCAAGGGGCTTTATTGTCATTTCAATCATGTGTAGTGGTACAATACACAGTGAAGCGAGACAACATTCCTCCAAGACCATGGTGGTACATATAACAGACAATCAATACATGATTACATAAAGTGCAAGTGTGCAAAAATTGCAAAAAAACAAAACAAAGACAGTGCAACACCACCATCATCACATCCCAAAAGTGCTCTAATGGACTGAGATCTGGTAACTGTGATGTTTAAATGATGCTCAGCTGGTACTAGGTGGCCAAAAGTATGCCAGGTTCGACATACTGTGTACTTACAGATGCCTTTCTGCATGCCTCGGCTGCAGTGAGTGGTTATTTGATTTACTGCTGCCTTTCTGTCAACCACAAAGTTGGCCATTCTCCTACAATTCTCCTGCAACCTCTGACAAAAAGAAGGGATTTTCATCCAGAGAACTGCTAGTCAGAGGATTTTTTTTTCTGGACTGTTCTTTGCAAACCTTAGAAACGGCTGTGTGGGAAAATCCCAGTAGACCAGCAGTTTCTGAAATATTCAGACTAGCCTGACAATCTGACACCAAGTCACATTTCCTCGCCATTATAGTGCTCAGGTTCAGGCTTCATGCTGTGTAACTATAAAATATGCTGCCCTGTGATACCATATCAAAGGGTCCTATAAAGCAGTCAGTTCATTCATGACATAAGCTTGCATAATTTCTATTACCTTTTTTTAAATCATTTTAGGCATGACAAACATTAAGCCGCTAAGCTTCTTTAATATAAGGATATGATCTTTTACCTTATATATCACAGTCAAA